GAATAAAAATATGGAAACACTATTTTATCAGAAAAATTCACCAACTTGGTTTTCCATAAATCACCTTGAATGAAATTTTTCAAATTGTTAGAAGAATTTAAGTTATTTATACAGTCAAGTGATAACTGAAAATTATTTCCATGCTCAAAAAATTTTTTGAATTGGAATCTCATGGACATTAAAACCTAACCTTTTGTAACATGTTCATCATACACCACTTCTCCTTTATTGTATATAGAAGTTACTTCTTGGTTAATTATTATCTAGTTTAAATTACTTATGTACTGTTCCTGCATGAGCCAATTCATTAAGCGGTATTCAGTATTACAAAGTGTAAATATGTTTGATATATCCAATGACAATTCTTTGAATGATAATAATAACAGTGGGTCATTAATTTTTTCCTTCACAAAATTGTCTAAAAAAGTACCTATAGGTTTGGTTATGAGTTCTACAATGCCTTTTTGAATATTCAAGACATCATGAAATGCGATGTTATTCTTGACATGTAAACCGATTACAAATTGTACAGCAGATTTATGGAGATCAGAAATTGCTGATTGATAATTAAAGCCATTAAAAGTATAATTTTGTATAAATATAGATGGTGTATGAGGTGTGGTATTCAGAGGGAAAGAACTTGTGTTGTTAATAATATGACTTTGAGTAGGTACAGAATCAGTTGATCTCAACTTAAAATGTTTGTTTTTAACATGCCTTTTAAACGAACTTAAACTCTGAAATGACTGAGAGCATGACTCTTCCCAACAGTCATAAGAACTATCAGGGCCTAGTAAATGTAAAACTTTGAAATGGATAACTAATGACTGTAATTGTCCACACTCACATTTACATATGTAACAAATCATTATCAAAACTAACATAAAATGCCTATTTAACAATTTTACCTACTTACTATAGGCCATTTCATTTTTAATATTAGAAACACAATTTTTCAGGTCCAAAAATTACCTATTATATAATGTTATGATATGATTATTAATGTTTGCTTTAATATTTTTTTGGGTATATCAGCAATACGATGAATTTATTGATACGTGAATTGATATAATGTATGCCAATTTTTTTTTTTTCATTTCATTTATTATCATACTTGTATACCTATATTTTTTTTTTATATAATATATAATAATAATTTTTTTTAACGATAATTTTAATACTTTATCTACCTACTACATAATTTTTATATTTATTTTCAATTATAGTTAACAATATTACTTAACATTTTTAACGGGAATACATTTTATCACTTGATTAATAGAAAGAAAAAAAATTTGGTTTAAAAGTAAAATTTTATTAAAATAAATAATGATTTATGACTTTTGACTATATGGCTAGGTGTCATGTAGGTGCGAAGATTGCACATTTATACATACTAGGTCTATGATTCTAAAATATATACATAATAATTGAATATGGTTCAAAAGAAATAATAACTGTTATCAAAGATCAAAAGGTAACGCTATTTGTAACTCACTACTTTGTTAATGAAAAAGTAATGTGACGCGATAAAAATAATTTTAGGTAACGCAAATGTAAATTAAATAGAAACATTTGAAGTAATGAGTAACTTAATTTCATTACATTTTAAAAGTAATTTACCAAACACTGATTAGGTTTAATAGAAACATATTTTTATGATTAGAGTTGTATTTCATATTTAATAAAAATTAACATCAAATATACTAGTGTTAATAAGTTTTAAACGTTTTTTAATGTTATATTTGTTTATGTAAATTATTCAAACAAAAAATTCAAACATAATTTATAGATTTTGTTAAACCTATACATATATGTTATATATAATTATATATAAATATGCACACACATAATATATATAAGTTACTTTTCAATTAAAACAAAATATAGGACATACAATCTAATAATATGAATGCCTTATGTTCATAAATTATATTTTTTAAACGATAAGCATAATTTATATATAATAACAATGTATAATAAATTATATAGTATTATACACATATGATCTATATAAATATAAATTACTTCATAAACAAAACCAAAAAATATCTTTTGAGAGAATAAAACTATTATACATAATATGTATATTTTATTAGAATATTAAAATTTAAAACGCACACATACATTATTATAATATAGATAAATAATTTACTGATAAATATGTTTGTATACATATGATTTAGTTGAACTTGAGAAATACTTATAGTAATATATATACTATTCAATTAAAACATAATAAAATACTTTCAACCTTATAATAATAATTATAATATAGATGAATTATGTTCAAAGAAATAGTATATTTTAAAACAATAAACATAATTTGTATATTATATTTAAATTATATATAAATTACTTAGAATAATATAAAATTAAAAACTCATTAGATTATAGTAATATATAGCTAATTTATATTCAAACACAGTAAATATCTTTAAAAAAATAAGCATAATTATACATATTAATTATGAATAATATATATAGAATTCTTAGGCACACACATATAATATAAATATAAATATATAAATTACTTAATAGGTTAGATTAAATTAAAAAACCCATTAGCTTATATATATAGCTAATTAATATTCAAACACAGTAAATATTTTTTAAAAAACGATAGCATAATTTATACATATTCAATTATGAATATATAATATATATACATAATATGTATAACAGTATAATATGTATTATTAATATAAATATCAATTACTATTGAAACAAAAAAAAAACTTGTTAACTTTTAAACATTTTAACTTGCGTTTAGATTAAATAAAAAATAATGGAATAAATTTAAAAAAATAAGTGTGTTAGTGCTTTCTGTATTGGTATATTTAATAATAAACTAAAACTATTATACATAATATGTATATTTTATATAATATTAAATTTAAAACGCACACATACATTATTATAGTATAGATAAATAATTTACTGATAAATATGTTTGTATACATATGATTTAGTTGAACTTAAGAAATACTTATAGTAATATATATACTATTCAATTAAAACATAATAAAATACTTTCAACCTTATAATAATAATTATAATATAGATGAATTATGTTCAAACAAATAGTATATTTTAAACAATAAACATACTTTGATATTTATTTAAATCATATATAAATTACTTTAGAATTAATATAAAATTAAAAACTCATTAGATTATAGTAATATATAGCTAATTTATATTCAAAGACAGTAAATATCTTTAAAAAAAATAAGCATAAATTATACATATTAATTATGAATAATATATATAGTATTATTATGCACACACATATAATTATATAATATTAAAATTTAAAATGCACACATAAATTATTATAGTACCTATAGATAAATAATTTACTGATAAATATGTTTGTATACATATGATTTAGTTGAACTTGAGAAATACGTATTGGGGCCCCCCGATAATAGTAATTAGTTTTTAGAATTTCTTCACATTTTTCAATTAATCACCTATATTTTATTATAAACATCTACGTATAAGTGTATAGCTTAAAATGAGATGGTTATTTTAATTATACTGTTGTTTTAAAAGTTATTGTTAATAGCCTATGGAGTACCTATATATTACACTACAAGTTATTAATTTAATATTATAAAATCATTGCCATGGCTAAATAATAAATCAGGGCCAAAAATAGTGTTCTAAATTTTATACAACAATCAACAGCCGATCCATATTATTATTGTAACAGGGAGTTATGTTAAATCAATGAGAAAATAATTTTTATCAAAACTAATTTATGGAATTACATTCTGATGGATATATCATAATTGGATACCTCATCTATGTATAATATCATAAATAATATACATTTAAATTACATTAGTTCAGCATATCAAAGATATTAAATTGAAAATATAAAATCATTGAATTTTATAAAAAAAATTTTATGTTATTATTTATAACGAAATGGTAAATTTGGTACCTAATATTTTTTTTCTCGTTTAAATATTTTTAGCTAAATAATTTACTGTTGCATATGTTTGTATACCTCTGATTTAGTTTAAATTGTGAAATATTCAATACTAAAGCTACTAAATATATTTTAAATAAATCTAAGTCAACACTTTTAACACAGACATTTAAATTTTTTATGTTTGTCATTTGTTCCTGAATTTAAAGTTTGTTTTGTACCATTTGAAAGTTTACGCTTTCGATATTCCAATACAGCCCATGACACTGCTTCTGCTTTTTTAAGTTTTATTTCAACTTTTAAAGGCGACATTGACACACAACTTGCATCAACGTCGACAATCTAAAAATTTAATTAGCATAAATTAAATATTTTATTTTGAAACTGAAAATGTAAAATAAATACCCCATGAAGTTCCATGTTTTTAGAAAACACAGACTTTTGAAAAGGGAAGTATAGTTCCACGGACAGTTTTACTGGAGACAATTTCACAAAAGAATTGTTTGGGTCATATTTCTTGGCAAAGATAGATATTACAACCCAGGGTCCATTCTGATGCCAGTCTAAACGGCAATTAGTATGTTCTTGAATTTTCTGAAACACGTATAAAAAATCATTGAATATTTTTTACTTAAATAACAAAAAAAAAAATTAGTGGAAATTACAGTTTCATTAATCCAACAATGTTTTCCTTGAAAACACCCAACTTGTTCCAGAAATGCATGGAAATCTGACGTCTTTTTATTACAACAGGACCAATATTTCATACCCTCATGGAATATAGGTGTACCAGGATGATGGTCACAAATAATATTCCCTTTTCCAGCACCTTCATAGGCCTATAACATTTTGATTTTGTTAATAAAGACACTGTTTACACATTTTTTTAAATAAAACATAAATTTATAAGACCTGTTTGCATCCATGTTTTTTACACATAGTACCAATTGAAACATCAATTAAACTATTTGTATCGCTTCCATTGGAATTGTTTATAGAAGTAGACGTTCTTTGTTGTAAGTAAGTAAAGGATATGGTCGGTTTAATATTTACCAATGGCAAATTAGCTGACGGTCTCGGTAACAAAACAGGTTTTGGGGCTTGATATGCAATGACATCAAGCTTTTCGGGCTCTTTTGGCATTTTACCGCTGTGGTAACCCTTTGTGCAGCCCTTAAACATATAAATGTTTAAACTCATAGGTAATATTAATGTAATAAAGTATAGTAATAATAGTGTCAAGTATAAGATTTACCTTTATATTAAGAAATTCAGTAAAATCAGTAGATCCTTTTTTACAGCAAGACCATCCCTTGTAGGCGTTATGAAAAATAGGGTTACCTGGATGATATACGCAAGAATCTATTCATTCAACAAAAAAAAAGAAAAAAACTGTTAAGTGACTTATTATCAAACAGTTTACTATCTTCATTGATTTAACAAGGGAATCACCTAAGTACTCCATATTACCTTCGATATAAGGTATCCACTTTTTACAGTAAATATGATTTATAACAGTATTGAAGTTAGTAAGGGACCATGAAACATGTAGGTAAGTAATATACCTAGTAATTACTTTATCTATTTATCCAATGGATTGTACTAACCGATTAGTTTGAATCGATTATTTGGTTGCACAACTTACCTTCAGTATTATTGGTTTGGTCGAATTGCTCAGCGCATCCACGGTTGTAGCACAAAACCAAATTCGAACCGTCACACATGGTGGGTTTGGATTAGTACTAACTTTATATTGTTTAAATAGAAGAATGTGAAAATATATGCTTTCTAAGTGGCCACGAATCGACAATAGACGTGGATGTGTCAACAACTCTGTGATACGCAGTACGCACCAAATGTTATCTATTATCAATTGTTATTGTACTATCAAGTTAAAAGTATCGAACTATCCTTTATTTTTAAACTATTTTTAACTATTTTTAAATTATTCAATTATTTTATAAGCATTCGAATTCGGTCGACAATATCAAAAAATCACTCGATTGTTTTTTTTAAACTCGATCGTCAAAAGTAGTTGATACCAGACGTACAGACGTAGACACGGGTAATGACAGCGGCCATTTTCTTTTCATAGCTGATAATAGATAGTAATGTAATTAAATTTGTTTTGTGAAATTGAATTTTGGTAATTAATGAATAAAGGTAGGAAAATATATATTTGAACGACTATTAACGATTTTTCATAGACGTACTTGTTTTGATAAATATTTTTATAATTGTATTAATCCAATTGGAAAGAAAATGGCGGCTGTCTTTACCTGTTCTTAAACAGACCGAACAGACGTGTATTACTATTTACTACCGAAGGAAAACTATCGAGTTTATTACTCGATAATTTTTCAAAAAAAACGATGGTTAATAATTGCACAAACTATTCGGTAGTGCCCATCACTGTCTAGTAGATAATTATTATAATAATATGTTTCATTCTATATTCTGAGTGTAACGATGGATGTATAAATGTATTGATTTTACAATGAAGTGTGTTTTTTTATTTTTTTATGTGTCTGTCATCACGTTTTAGGACAGTAAAAGTGCTTGCATTTTCTTCAACAGTAAGTTTTCTGAGAGGAAAGTGAATCTTGTTGGTACTTTGGGGGGTCAAAAATGAAAATTTCAAAGTAGTTTTAAAAAGCGGCGTGAAAAACAAAATAAAAATTAAGGAAAAACGGATTTTCAATGATTGTTTATGTTTGCATTTTAACGATTTCCTTATTCTGTTGTAATTCAAAAACGAATAACTGTAGATACATGAAAATGTTATTTGAAAATATTTTGACTCTTTTTGAGCTGACATTTTCATTTTCCAATCTTTAGTTTTTTATTCTAAAACATCAATAAAGTTTTCTTTTTGCCAAAAGTAAAAATTTTAATACAAGCTCCTGATATTGTTACAATATCAGTTAAAAAAATTTAAAACATAAGCACAATTTTTTTTATAAGCATTTAAAGATAGAATTTCGACAAAATTGATCAAATTTAAAATTGAATAATTATTTTGTATTTAAAAATGAATAAAATGTTCGACTTTTATATCTAAGGATTGGAAATTTAAAACAAGATTCTATTGTAAGTAGTTAATTCTGTTACAAAAAAATCTAAAAATACACAAGCACAGTTAATTTTTATAGTCATTTTAAGTTCAAATTTGGACGAAATTACATATAAAAAACCTGGGTATAGGAACTATATTTTAGTTATTTTGTTGTGATTATATATGTTATAAAATCAATGGTTTTGGTGTTTTACTTACTGCAGCTAGGTTACATCACATTGTATATTCATTATAATAATAATGATGATATTTTCAAGCTGGGAGATAAATAGATAATGTTTTTACGAATTGATAACCAATCGGTATTTAAAATAATTAGTGCTTAAAATTTGTAAACATAATACCACTGTACAATAATTATTATTTCTCAGTAGAGGTATTCATTATACACTTTACAAAATAAAGTTTTTAACTAATTTATTTAGCCTATTGTACACTTTTTTCACGATCACTCGATATTGTTTTCCACTATATAAATATTATTTAGGTTATTTATATAATTTATTTAGCTTTAAAAATCTACAAAAGAATGACATAATATAAAAATATTATTGTAAAACCATTGATATTATTTTTTTAATAATTTCTATGCTCCTCTGCCAGTTTATTTCCACCATAAAGTATCGTTATTCTATTTCAGAAATAACCGTTTTCCAGCTGTCAGATTATCAAATGATGAAAAATAAATAAAATATAATCACTTGTCTACTATGACATTGACATATGTCTACATCTTATTCTATTTTTCGAAAATTTCATTAGTAAGAGAGTACAGCAGAGATTGCGTTTTACTTTGAGCTGTATACGCAACTAAATCTAACACTGATTGTTAGTGGTGTGTACGAGAAACATTTCATCAGCGCAATATACATCAGTGAAAGGCTAAGATACACACATTTCTCGGAGCTAAATAATACACATCGAGACACACACATTACTAATTAGTAATTACTATTCATTAGAAATTAACATTTTAAACGCACATAATATGTATACTGTAATTTTTAAGTAACAAATATCATATTATTATTATGAATAAAAACAGTAAATACAATTTTACTATCATTATAATTAAAATATAAAAAATCAATTCCCACTTATAACCTAGAAAACAGATAATTATCATATTATATTTTAATAACCTTAGTTTTATTACACGATTTAATTTTATATTTTTTTAATCGCATGTACTTAGCAAATATACATACCAACATTATGATTATAAAATTTAAAGAAGCACAAAACACAGAAATAAGTGTTTCAAATTTGAAAGAATATTCAATAATGAGATAAAATTGTATAGGTATTTAGTTTCTACTCTAATTATTCAGTGACTTATGACTAGGGCAAGGGACTTCATGCTCTAAAAAACCTTAAAAAATGCATGCATTATGCATATATAGGTATTTGCTCTTACAATAATAATATATGCAAAAACGGTCATAGTTATTAAGACTTGCGAGGAATTATTTTAAAATTACACGTGACGTTCCTGGGTCGATCTCGCTAAGATTGCAGATCTAAATTATACTTACAAAAGTCGCTCGCTTGACACTTCTCAAATACTTTTTTTGAAAATTTTTTTTTTTTTAATATATTTTCTTTACATGATTAATTTTTGAGGTTGTACGGTTGATATGTAAGTTAAATGCTTATTATTTTATTAGGAAATAAACGGTTGTGTATATAAACTTGAGTAAAATATGAGTTATACCTTTATATTAAGGGTCCTCGCTACTGCCGTCAATTTTAGCTGAAAAGACCTAATGTATTGACAAAATTAAAGTTAGTTAACGTTGACCGAATTTGATTCTGAAAAAAAAAATTTGAACTCACCAGAAAACTATCTAGGTATACATTTTACGAAGCACTTTGTAAAAACTACATTTTAAAGTATTGTGAACTGTAATTGAAAACTTGGAAATATCAACTTTTTCCAATCATAATTAAAATTAAAATTAAAATTAAAAACGGAAAATGTTTCGTACGATGTAAGACATTTTTTAGCTGAATTCAAATTTTTTCTGCAGAACCAAAATTACACAACGTTAACCAACTTTAATTTTGTCAAAACAAATGTACCTATGTTTTTGTAAAATTCGTGTATAGAAATTGATATGGTTATCGGGTTATTGACATGTGCCAGAGCGTACGAGATGGGATACCACTATACCAGCATTTAATTTTACTCACACATTATTATTTGTATCCAAGATGTTAGTAGAACCAGTGTTCCGAAGTGTTGAGTTTTTTTGAAATATTTAAATGTAGTTATTGTCATTTTAGAATGTGAGTGAACCGATGAATGTATTAATTTTACAATGATGTGTGTATTTTTTAATTTCATTTGGGTCTGTATACACGATAAGTAGTCGAAATAATGTTTCGATTTTCCACTTCAGTATCTTGTTCGATTCGAAAGTGATTATCGTTGGTGCATTGAGGAGGTCAAAATTTTAAATTCACAGTAATTTTCAAAAGCACCAAGAAAAACCAAAGAAAAATTAATTAAAAACAGGAATTTTTACGCAAAATCGACTTTGGTTTTTGGTGTTACTTTAAAACAAATTACCGTAAATATATGAAATTTTCACTAGTTGTTTATATTTGCATTTTCTATACATGATAACATTTTCAAAATATCTTGATTTATTTTGAACTGTTTAGGGACATTTTCAGATTCCAATGTTATTACTTTTTTTTTATGAATATCAATAAAATTTTATTTGGTGAGTGAAAAACCCTGAAAATTTAATAGAAAACTCCTAGTATATTGTTACAATATCAGTTGAAAAATATTAAGAATTCATAGATACAATTTTTTTTTATAAGCATTTAAAGATCGAATTTTGACAAAATTGATCAAATTTAAAATTGAATTATTTTGTAGTTAAAAATGTATAAAATGTTCAAATATTATATCTAAGGATTTAAAATTTAAAACAAGATTATATGTAAGTAGGTAATTCTGTTACCAAAAAATCTAAAAAATACACAAGCACAGTTTATTTTTATAGTCATTTTAAGTTCAACTTTGGACGAAATTACATATTAAAATCAATATTATCGATTTTAGTTTTTTGTTGTAAATTAAAATATATTATTCGGGGATATATGGAACTGAAAAATTAAAAAATTGAAATATTATAACCTATCCATACAATCTAACCTAACCTAACCTAACGATATGTGCGTTGTAGAAATATAGAGTATAGACTTATTTTGGATTCACTCTGTACTTTGTCTACTCTGTTGTCTGTACTACTGCGATCCTCTTGTGGGTGTTAAAGTATATTATACTGTTATTAAAACCTCTGTTTTATTTATATTAGCAACATATTAAAACAAATAACGCAATTATGGATAGAACATTTTTTTAACCCAGTACCGAATATGCAAAGGTGGGCATTAACTTGTTAAAAAGTTAATTTTTTTTAACTTTTTAACTTATCTAGTTAATTATTTTTATCTTTGTCTTATTAACTTTTCAGTTAAAATTTCCAACTCCATTATATAAAATACCTAGGTGTTAGGTCTTAGGTATATAGAATATCATTTATACCAATATTAAATATTAATAAAATAATAAATTATAATTTTCTGGTAATTATGTTGAAAAAATGTGGCCAAGTGGGTGTCGCTCTGCTGTACAGTAGGTTACAAGTTTGTCACTGTATAATGGATGATATTAAATTTGAATTCAACGATATAATATCATTGTATAAGAAAAACGATTCTGAGCGGAGACGGAATGTCAGTCTAGGTATAAGACATATTATATACAAATCTATAGTACTAAACCAAAATTGGACGTATAATAAATTCCAAATTAATCATATTATCACAATGTCCATTAGGTACTTATAACGCGTTATACATCAACAAAAACCGTGATACTATCATAGATATATAATAGTAAACTTTAGAAGTTTCAAGCGCCTACCCACGAATAAAATTATTCAATCACAACAAAATAACTAAAATAGTTATTCTAGGTTTTTTAATATGTAATTTCGTCCAAATTTGAATTTAAAATGTCTGTAAAAAATAACTGTGTTCATATATTTTTTAAATTTTTTGGTTACAGTATGAACTATTTATGAGAACCTTTGTTGTAAATTTGCAATCCTTAGCTATAAAAACTGAACATTTTATAATTTATTAATTACAATGATTGATAGTATTCGAGATTTTGATAAATTTTGTCAAAATTCGAACTTTAAATGCTTATAAAAAGAAATTGAGCCAATGTATTTTTAATATTTTTCAATTGCTATTGTAACAATATATCAGGAGCCTTGTATTAATTTTTTACACTTTTTGGCCCAACAGATAAAACTTTATTGATATTTATAGAAAAAAAAACTAAAAAAAAATTGAAAGCGGTAAATGTCCGTAAATAGCTCCAAAAGAGTCAAAATATTTTCAAAATTGTATGTTGTATAAGAAATGCTAATATAAATATTCAATGAATTTTTCATGTATCTGTGATCAGTTATTCGTTTATGAATTACAACAAAATAAGGAAATCGCTACATGAGAAATCGGGTGAATACCAATGTTGTAAAAATTTGAATTTCAAACACTCATAAAAATTTAATTTGACTTTCTTATAGACATTTTTTTTTTGAGAAAGGTAGATAATCTTATAAGGAATCTTGCATTACATTTTCAAATCTTAGATTTAAAAAAAAAATTTTTTACGAATTCATAACTCAAAATAATTTGCTAATTTTAGTGATTTTTCCATATTTTGTCAATTTTTGAACTTTAAATGCTTATAAAAAAAAATTGTGACGAAGGATTTTTAATATTTTTCAACTGCCTTTGAAACTATATACTAGGAGTCTTCTATTAAATTTTCAAGCTTTCGCAACCAACAAATAAACAACCGTCTCCGCTCAGAATCGTTTTTCTTAATTAACTTTATTCACCTTAGTATCATCAAATATACTTTGTAATATCATAGGCTGACTGATTGTTTACTCTCAGACTCGTTTTTCTTATACAATGATAATATATCTTTGATTTCAAATTTAATATCATTTATTATACAGTGACCCACTTGTAACCTATTGTACAGCAGAACACTTTTAGAATAGTTTTAGAATATTTTTTTTTTTTATGAATATCTATAATAATAAAATTTTATTGATATTTTTAGAAAAAAAATTTAAAAAAAATGGTAAATGAAAATGTCCCATAACAGTTCAAAATAAATCAAAATATTTTGAATATGTTATCGTGTATATAAAATCCAAATATAAACAACCAGTGAAAATGTCATGTATATACGTTCATTTCTTTTAGAGTTACACCAAAAAGCAAAATCGATTTTTTGGAAAACCGATTTTGCGTAAAAATTCCCGTTTTTCCTTAATTGTTATGTTGTTTTTTCCGGTGCTTGTGAAAACTACTTGGAAATTTTTACTTTTGACCCACCAAAGTACCAACTAGAATTTAAAAAAAATGGTAAATGAAAATATCCATAAACAGTTCTAAATAAATCAAAATATTTTGAAAATGCAAATATAAACAATCAGTGAAAATTTCATTTATCTACGGTCATTTGTTTTAAAGATACACTAAAAACCATATTCAATTTTGTGAAGATTTAAGTTTTTCCTTAATTTTTTTTGTTTTTCTTGGCGCTTTTGAAAATTACTGGAAATTTTAAATTTTAACCTTTCCAACCCACCAACTATGTTTAATTTTTTTATACATTGTGACTATAATAGGCATATTAACAGGTGCTTGTTTAACAGAAATATCTCTTTTAGTATTGTTTCATTTGAAAAAAAACTCTGATACTATTATAATACCCTCTTAAGAGGACGCTACACCCGCATGTGTTGTCTCCGTCTTACACACGTACGACATAGACAAAACGCGTTTAGGCAGTCTGAGTATAACTCGCTTAATTTTGGTTCTAGAGTAAAAATACCTATTATGAAATTGAATTGTGATAATATTTCTAAGGGCAAGACCTTGCGGTTTTTTTTAAAAATTTAATTTTTTAAAAGTCAAAGGTATTTTAAAAATGGTGAAATTTTTTCTATTTCTAAACGATATAATGAACGTTATAATGGGTATAATGGAAAAACCGCAGCGTCTTGCCCTTAGAAATATTATCACAATTCAATTTCATAATAGGCATTTTACTCTAGAACCAAAATTGAGCGAGTTATACTCAGACTGCCTAAACGCGTTTTGTCTATGTCGTACGTGTGTAAGACGGAGACAACACATGCGGGTGTAGCGTCCTCTTAAGTACAAACATCACTAATTCATACAAAAATCAAACAACAAAAATAAATATTTCTTGTCAGTGAATCATTATATTGTGTAAAACGAGTAGGTATAACTTTATATACTTACACATTTACACGTTCACATGAGATTGATAGGCCTTTGTTATATGGCTAGGCCACCAATATTTTTTTTTACATTTAAATTTGAGCAAATCATCTACACAATGATTTAACATTTAATAATATTTCGAAGAACAATTTTTTTTGTGTTGTGTCCTACTATTGCCCATGAGTCATAATACTGTTTTTTTTTTTTTAACTTTGGATAAGAGATAGGTTGAGTTGTTTTACTTAGAAAATAAAAGGTATATCGTTCAGGGTTAATCCTTGAACTCTTTGATAATATTTGAAAATACTTGCGATTAACAATTATTAATGATAACCATGAATACTGTAAAGTCCGATTTTTAATCAATGTAAAACATATACAACTATATAACTACTGAAGTAGTTCACTGGTCTTAATAGTTCCTCGTGTCCGTCAGTATATACATTTTATATATAAATATATATGTTACGGTCAATGACGAAAACTGAACATTTACGTTATTAACCGGTCATTATTTATTATTAATTATTTATTTTCACAAGGCATGCTGTTGTGACATTTTGAATTACATAATATTCCCGCTAATCGACAAATGCATTTGTTTGTTCTGCACTTTAGTTTGCAATTACACCTTTTGTAACCTTGCGATCCAGTGACACTACTAAATCCTGCAGCTTCTCTCAATGTAATTTCTTTTTCGGTATTTACAGATACCAAATCAACGAAACATTCTTTGCAGGGATCGATCTGCGATCGAGTATACAAATGTTTAATAATGCCGTTCTCTGTACCTAATTAAATATAAGCATTTATAAATTCAAATGAATATATCTAAATAATTTAATTATAATTTTATAAGTACCTAATTTATATAAATCATCTTCAACCTGGGTAATAACTGCTAATAGGTTTCGTGGCGATCCACGTGCTCGATCAACATCGGGTATTGAAACTTTAACTGTGGTACCAACTTCTAGCGGAGTAAATTTCTTATTTGAAATAGTCATCATTTTTTTGGCTTGTTTCTTTAAGCATTCACTTGATTTATGTCGTTCATTCTGTATTTGCTCATGACGTTGGCAATTCATGCAATTTGTACTTTCATTGTCTGCTTCCAGGAAAATAAAACATCTTTCACATTTTCTTAGGTTTGTATCTAATATGTTTAAATTATAGGTATGTTATTTTAATAAAATTTTAAATTTTAAATATTATATTAATTAACCTGTATCCATCATATTTTCTTGCTGTTCTGAAATCGGTGAAATAACTTCTTCAATATTTTGTTTTGAATCGTGTAATCCAGTTTCTTGCATTTGCTTTAACAATTCTTCTACATAACCTAACCTAACCTGACCTGAATGAAGAGCTCGGTTTTTCTGGCACTGAATAAATTTCAAACCAGAGGGCCAATCCCTACTATTGTTTTCTGCCATCCACGTAGCCAACATATCCTCTACATCTCTATTTGCTAGTTCCACAGAACCTTGGCTCTGGCTGTGCCTCGGTTTACCATGAACAATTTTGACGTCTTCCCACATATTGTGCAGTTCAGTTATAGTCGAATTTACGAATTCACGGCCATTATCTGACTGCAAAATAGCTGGTGCGCCATAGGTCGTATAAATGTCAAGTAAATTATATGCAATCTCCTCTGCACGTTTACTTTTTAAAGGCCTTAAAATTACGAATTTGGTTAAATGGTCTTGATAACAAAAAATAAACCGAAAATCGTTAAAGTGTTGGGACTTCATATCTATTAAATCTACTTGTGCTCTTGAGTTAAAAGCATTGTGTAATATCGGTTTGGAAACCAGTCCTCTTTTTCTATTAGTAGATTTCTTTTGACAATGTGAACAAAGTTGTAAATATAGCATAATTGATTCCTTAGTTACATTACAATACTTATTTTTTATTTCCGCAACCATTCGATTTCTCCCACCATGTCCAATAGACGAATGAGTAGTATGAAGAATATCAAAAAGCTCTTCATTTGATACATAATAAAGCATAGTATTATTATTTTCTGGTACTGGTTTTATCAAGCGTTCTTTTCCATTAACCATTAATATTTCATACTTACGAACCATCCTGTAATCTTTTACCGATTTTTTCAATCCCTTAGTACTTAATATTTTTTTCGACTCTTTAAAACTTTGGAAATTTGCTCACTATACTCCGATAAACTAAAATAAGAATTATTGTCAGTCCGTTTTTGACTAATCAACTTATTAAATAAATCGTTGAATTTACTACGCATAGTATCTACATCCATATTTTAATATTTAAAATTTTACGTAAATAAAGAATAATTATTTATATAAATATTTTAAAATGCAATAACACGTGAACTGGCGAACAGCGAAATGTCGAACTGGTGAACTGCGAATCAAGCGATGTCAAACAAATGCGATGTCTGAAACGATACTGAAATAGTTAAAATATACGTTATGGGGAAAAAATCCAATAAAATAAATTACCTACCTTTGATAATTTGTTAGATAACGATAACCAATCTGTTATATAACATTACATACTAACGTAGAAACGTGTCTGGATAGATAACTGACAGTGACCTGGATGTTATAAATGTTTAAATGTATAATTTACAACAACGTCCAGCAGGAGTTGGGAATTGACGTGAATAATAAAATAATACCCGTGTTTACAACATTAACCATTATGTGTCGCCATTTACGTAAATGACCGGTCACTTACGTAAATTTGTATTGAACAAGATCATTTTCGTCATTGGCCGGGCTTTAACGTAAATATCATCATTTTCGTCATTGACCGTAACATATATATTGGTATAGCATGCTCACAAGTATCGGTTCTCCTTTCGGAACTTTGCTATAACAGAAATCAATTAATTTGAATGATAATACTTTTTTATTATATCGATTCGTTACCTACTCATAGCTTTATTCCTACGGTTCCCAAACTGGGAAGACACGAAAATAAAATAATATTCTTCACGTTTTATATTCTAATTATTTTTGTTTAGTTTCGATTTTAATTCTATAAATTATAATTTGACTCTATTATAATAAATATTAATGTTCTAATATTTACTACAAACTATGCTGCAGCTTATAAGCACCTGATGACGGGAAATGCCTATTTATAGTACCATATCCTATTCTCTTCTGCATAACATTAGTCATTACGCATACTACCTACATTTTAAAATGTCCATTAATTGTGGTTATGTAAACGTTATTATTGCGATATAGCCATTATATAGTCCTGTAAAGAATACTTTTGAAAAGTACTTGAGTAAGTACTCAAATACATTTTTTTTTTAAGTATTTAAGATACTACTCAAATACTTTAATTGTATAGTATTTCAAATACTACTCAAATACTTTGAAAAAGTATTTGGAATACTTTTCAAATACTTTTGGAATACTTTTCAAAAACTTTTGGTTTTTAAAGTGGGTTTCTAATTATTGTAATATAGACACATAGGTAGTAAATTTATAATCATTTTTATTTATTAATTATTAAATAAATGTTTATTACATTTTTTTTTTGTTTTTACATGAAATTTACAATCTGTTCTTAACTAGAACAATAAGCAAATTTAATGTGCATAGGGTATTTGAGTATGATTTTTTTTTTGAGGGAAGAAACCACCCATTGGTGATACTACCTATTTTGTGTTCTTAATTCATTCTAAAATTTCTAAAATTATTTCGAATAAAAATAAAATGTTCGAAATAAAAAACCAAAGTATTCAATACCAAAGTTTTTAATACAAAAAAAAGTATTTAAAATACCATTCAAAATACTTCATGTTGAAAGTATTTAAAAAGTTATTCAATACTTAAAAAAGTATTTGAATACTTTTACTCAAATACTTTACAGGACTGCCATTATACCAGCTACCAGCCCATACCTTTAAAAAATACAATTATTTAATAATATTGTAGGTTCTTACTTATCGAAGGTATAAAATAAAGTATTTAATTTACCATTGAAAGAAAAATACCCTTGAATTGTCCATTGACAAATCATTTTACCAAAAAATGAGTATGTGGGCTACGAATCTAAACTATACTTACACCCAAAGTTGAAAATTCAGGGGGGAAAGCCTTCATTTTATTAATACCTAAACAAACACTTTAATTAATGTATAATGTATTAGGTGTATTTAAAAAAAATATTTAAAGGTATATAATATAATATTACATTTTACACTTATAGCAACTAATTGAACACGAATTGCAATATTGTTTTATTTTTCTCGAATTCATCCACAACTTTTTCAGCTAAATTAAGTTATTCGATTTTTTTTCTATGTAAGTTTATCATGCATAGTCCGGATAAACGGTTCTCACACATTGTTAAACGTAACCCGGTTTTAACACGACGTAATGTGCTGAATGTATTTTGTGTACTGCAAATTGTTGGTAGAATAGGTAGTCATATAAATATTAATACTTCTCTTCAAAGTAAATTCACAATCTTTTAAAAACAAAGAAATTTAATTATATTTGGATATAATTATTTTAGCAGGAAAGCTAGGGAATTGTCCACCCCCTGCCTTCCCCTCAGCGGGTGCCCTTGCTAGGAAATTTTATATTTTAATCATTAATAGTTATTTTAGGTAGACCCAATCATATAATTTTGTCTTGCAGATTACAAAGTTGTCTTAAAATAATATAACCAATGTTAACCAGTGGTAGTTGCAAATCGCCATAACAGATCAAGTTTAAATGTAAATTGTATAAGACGTATAGTCGCGATAAAGTACATAAAGGCTAGTCTTTGTCTATCTGAATATCAAAAGTTGTGTCCGGACTTTTTGTTTTAAAAATTCACCGTATCTACGTATATTTATAGTCACACACCGCATAAATTCAGATGATAATATTATACGTGTATATGACTTCTGTGGATCTGGCTTGTAACAGGACAATATTTTTTTAATTGTCAGTTTTTTTCGGTAAGAGTGGAAAAACTGAAAAAAAAATCTAAAAACTAAAAAATCATGAAAATGAATAAGAATTTTTATATTTTATTGGACATATTAAGTTCTAATTACAAATATCAATAATAGTTGTGATTGAAATTATATTTATCCAAAGTTGCATTTAAATCGTTAAAAATATATTTAAAACTATTTAATTTTTTGTATACCTTACTATTTTTTTTTGCTATTTATAATTTATATGTTGTATATTATGACCAAATTTTTAATTGGCCAACCTTTCAATATAAACAATTAAAAAAAAAATCCTTTTAAAAATGTTACTCAAATTTAATATTTTATTATACTTTTATACAATCGTTTTGATTTTCAAGTCCTGTGTTTCGTTTATATTTACCTATTATTCATTAATTTCCTGATATAATTACGACTTTACCTAACTATAAGGTCAGATTGGTTATTGCTTTTAATATGTTATTAGAAAATTAGAAGTACGTAATGTCTAATATAATATAAAATATAACATAATCTGGTATATAATATAAAATTTGGTTCTTTTTCTGGTTTTTTTCCTTGATACGTTTTGTCAACTCTCGTACTTGGTTGATGATTTTACAAAGACGAACGAGTTTTAAATAATTGGTTATCAATGAGAATTGCGAAAGTTTTTCATTAATGTTTGGTGTAATAAATTCACAGCTGGTATCCCGGCCGAATTTGGTAAATGTACAAAAACGGAAAAAAAAGTTTGGAAACCATAGCTTGCCTTGATATAACAATAATATTTGATATTTATTTTATTTTAATTTTACTGTAAATAAATATAATACAAGATAATATGTTTCCACGTATTGCTTAACACGTGTTAATCTGCAGGTGGCAACATGAAAGTGTATCGTTCCATAAGAGGTCGGCAGACTCGTTTTCTCCGTTCGGTTTATTTAATATTCCATAATAAATTATAGAGTATAAACCGTATGGGGCACACAATAAAATATATTTTTTTCCGTAGGCTTTTGGTTGTAGATATTAGTATTAAATTAAAATACGTATTAATTAGTATTATAGTCAGGACTCACATTTGAAAAAAAAATCCCGTTTTATGTTATTTACACTTAAACTTTATAAAATGTTATTAATCGTTATTTAGAATAGTGTTTATATGTCTATTAAATTTAAAAATAATAACTTATGCGAGTAGCTAATGGCCCGGTTTTGGAATATATTATAATTTATACATAGTGTACAATGTGCTATCATGTGTATGGGTTTGCTTATAGTTTGTAAGTTTATGGTCATATGATATATTTTATATGCAGTGTTGTAAAAAATACTTTTTAAAAGTATTTAAGTAATTACTCAAATACTCTTAAAATAAAGTATTTAAAATACCACCCAAATACTATAAATAGTAAAGTATTTGAGTAATACTCAAATACTTTTCAGAAGTATTTAAAATAATCTTCAAATACAAAAAAAAAATTCTTTTTACTTTTTAGTTCTGAAATAATTTGTTATAATCAAAAATGTGTTTATTGCATTTTAAAAACATGATTCGTTCAATAATCAAAATTCTGATTAGTCATGTTAGTTGCACTACAACAATGAATTTTTCTCAACAGAGTTATTATATTAATTTAAAGCTATATTATGTATTTGGATATCTCATACCGTCATCGATAAACAATAATGATAATAATTGATAAAAATTTTCTTGATAAATAGGTAGCCACTAGCCAGTAGGTACTAATAATTATTAACATTATTTTCGTATAGTTAAATAATTATAAACTATAAAATATAATAGCCGTTAAGTAGAAGCTTTTTACATATTATATATTTTGTTAACTTAAGCTAATAGTGATACCGACTACAGATGTATCTTTTCGATCATCGTCGACAATAAGCTGTCTCCTAGAGAATAAAAAAAATTAAATAAAAGTATTCAATAAAATAGTATTAAATTGTAAAAATAAGTATTTAAAATACCATTCAAATACTTCAAAATAAAAAGTATTTAAAAAAGTATTCAATACCGAAAAAAGTATTTGAATACTTTTACTCAATTACTTTTACTCAAATAATATACAACACTGTTTATATGTATATATGTATAAAGATGTTTATCGTATGCTAACTGGCTAACAATGTGTTTTATTGATATGTGAGTATATATTATTATGTAAATTGTTTCATATACCCACGAATAATATTTTTATATTAGGTACTAAAAATTACCTAAAATCTTTATTCTTGGTTATTTAACATTTAATTTCGTAGAAATTTTAACTTAAAATAAATATCAATAAACTGTGTATAAATAATATTTAGATATTTTGGTGACAGAATTAACTACAGATAATAATTAATATAAAAAATACTTTTATACTGAAAATACAATATACATACGTCATGCCTAATATGTGTGTAATAAAACGGATGATGGAAGATAAAATACCCAAAAATAAGTAAGGACGTCAGAGAATTTTGAAATACTTAGCTATAATGTTTTAATATGATATATTATTATATCATTGTATACTGTATAGGTACGAAAACCTATCCTAAGAGGAGACGATTTGTCATTGTGGATATTTTATATTATATTTATATTGTTATTACTTGTCGTTAATACGGTAGCTGGTAAGTCGATTTTATATTATAAATCGTAAACTACAACAAAAAAACTAAATTTGTTATTCTTGGTTAATATATGTAATTTCATCCAAATTTGAACAAAAAATAAACCATGAAAAACACTGTGTTGTTATATTTTTGTGATTTTTGTTTTTTTAATTACAGGATAACAAACTTACGTGGAACCTTTTTCTAAATCTTCAACCCTTAGCTATAAAAGTGAAACATTTTAACTAGAAAATCATTTTTAAATTTTGTAAAAATTTGAAATTTAAATATGTTTATAAATAACCCAAAACGAGTCAAAATATTTCAAACATTTTATTATGTATAGAAAATTATAAAAAAAATATTTAATGGACATTAAAGTACTTACGGTTAATATTTTTTTGAAAAACAACTTAAGAAGAAATTCGTTGTATGAGAATGTTTTAATTTATGGGTGAATATTATAAATACAATAAGTATGTCGAACTTCAAACGCTCGTAAAAAAATTATTTTACTTTAAAGTAAGCTTTTATTTTAGATTCTGAGTGAAACGATTAATGTATTGATTTTACAATGATGAGTGTTTTTAAATTCTGAGTTGAAACGATGAATGTATTGATTTTACAATGATGTGTGTTTTTTTTTTATTTATTTATTTTTTTTTTTGTGTCTGTGTACACGATAAGTAGTCGAAATAATCTTTCGATTTTCAACTTCAGTATCTTGTTCGATTGTAAAGTGATTATCGTTGGTGCATTGGGAAGGTCAAAATTTAAAATTCACAGTAATTTTCAAAAGCGCCAAGGAAAACAAAAGAAAAATTAAGGAAAAACAGGAATTTTTACGCAAAATCGAATTTGGTTTTTGGTGTTACTTTAAAACAAATTACCGTAGATACATTAGTTTTTCACTAGTTGTTTATATTTGCATTTTCTATACACGATAACATTTTCAAAATATCTTGATTTATTTTGAACTGTTTAGACACATTTTCAGATTCCAATTTTATTACTTTTTTTTATGAATATCAATAAAATTTTATTTGGTGAGTAAAAATACTTGAAAATTTAATACAAGTCTCCTACTATATTTTTTCAAAGACAGATGAAAAATATTAAAAATCGTTAGTCACAGTTTTTTTTAAGCATTTAAAGTTCAAAAAATGACAAAATATGGAAAAATCACGAAAATTTGCAAATTATTTCGAGTTAGAAATTCGTAAAAATTTTGCTTTTTAAATCTAAGATTTTAAAATGTAATACAAGATTCCATATAAGGTTATCTACCTTTATCAAAAAAAAATGTCTATAAGAATGTCAAATTAAATTTTTATGAGCGTTTGAAATTCAAATTATTACAACATTGGATATTCACTCGATTTCTCATGTAGCGATTTCCTTATTTTGTTGTAATTCAAAAACGAATAACTGTAGATACATGAAAATTTCACTGAATGTTCATATTAGGATTTTCTATACACTGAACAATTTTCAAAATATTTTTTCCTGATATATTGTTACAGTAGCAATTGAAAAATTTTAAAAATACATAGGCACAATTTTTTTTTTATAAGCATTTAAAGATCGAATTTTGAGAACATTTATCAAAATCTCGAAAATTATCAATCATCGTAATTAATAAATTATAAAATGTTTAGTTTTTATAGCTAAGGATTGAAAATTTAAAAAAAATATTATAATAAATAGTTCATACTGTAGCCGAAAAATCTAAAAAATATATGAGCACAGTTATTTTTTACAGACATTTTAAATTCATATTTGGACAAAATTACATATTAAAAAACCTAGAATAACTATTTTAGTTATTTTGTTGTGATTGTATAATATTATTCGTGGGTACTTGAAACTTCTAAAGTGTACTATTATATATCTATGATAGTAACACGGTTTGATGTTGATGTATAACGCTTATAAGTACCTAATGGATATCGTGATATGATTAATTTGGAATTTATTATAGGTACCTATTATAGGTTAATTTTCTCTTAATACCATAGATATGTATATAATATGTCTTATACCTAGACTGACATACCGTCTCCGTTCAGAATCGTTTTTCTTATACAATGATATTACATCATTGAATTCAAATTTAATGCCATCCATTATACAGTGACAGACTTGTAACCTACTGTACAGCAGAGTGACACCCACTTGCCCACTTTTTTTTTTTTTATGAATATCAATAAAAATTTATAGTAATTTATATAATTTATTGATAGTGGCACAGTGGATTTATACTGAGTAAGTCATAAGGTACCTAACATATTTTGATAGGGGAACATAAAACATTAGGTTATATTTTTAATTATATTATACCTACATTGACTTTTTAATTGGGTTTTAAACTTTTAAACAAATTTAATAATCAACTATTTTAAGAACCACCACTGCTATAATATATTTTGGTTTTTCTTTCACTTCAAGAATTTTTTTTTATACATGTTTATAAAAACAGTCATAATAGCTAGTACCCTACTATTGTACTTTATTTATTATTGCTAAAAAATGAAATCAGTGTAATATGTAATGGTAATTATAGCTAATAATTGTATTATAAGTTTTTATTATATATTTATAAAAGTTTAATCAAGCTTAAGGAATAATTAGAAATATTATATTTAACTAAACAAATTCTCACCAAAAATTACTGTACATGTAGCCAATTTATAGAATACTTTCTTTTATTTCAAACCCTTGTAGCTAAACTTTTCAAGCAATGCATCTGTAAAAATTTTTCTCAATATAATACGCACAGTACTGGGCAATGTGCTACGTGAAAAACGTTTGAGCTCTGCAATCTGTACACAATTAATAATTTATACTATTAATATAAGCGTATAGCATATTCAGAATTTTATTTTTACCAGTTTCATTCTAAATTCTTTATTGGCTGTAAGTTTTTTTTCAAATTCCTCTAGCTCATCTTCTGTTTCCAATGGAAGATTTGATAGTTCCATTTGGAATATATTTTCAGTATTTTTTTCTGTAGATGAATGATCAAAGCAACTTGGTTCCAATAATATAGTATCATACATTTTATCAACCTTCTCATTTAATGAATTAATATCATATTTTATATTACAGATCGTTCTATTCATTTTTTGAAGAAATTCTATATAGGGATTAAAAATAAATTATACATTAATATATTTATAAAATTAACATTATGTTGTAATTTAATTTATATATTATTCACCAAGTATTCCATTTGGTGCTGATATTTGTGGTTCATTGGAAAAGGATGCTGACCGTTGTGTATCTACATAAAATGCATCAGAAACCTTAAATGGTGATGATGATGTGTTGACTACACCAATGAAAGATTCATCAATAACATGTGTAATCCCCTCTAGAATCTCATCTAGCAACAATATAAATTAAATTAAAAATATGTGCATTTTATGGAATTAATTATTGCACTTGAGATATTTTATTCAAATATTAGTCCATTTTTTTTGTTCGTGTCAAGCAACTTTTGTATATAAATATGATAGACGTACAATTGAGACTAAAATTAACAAAGTGAGTAGATAACATAAGATAAATCAAACAAAACATGTATACAATAGATTATAAATCAATTTATTAAGACAATTCTTAAAGTATGTATTACCAGTGATTTTTGTTGTCTTATCAGGTGTAGAAATTGGACTTGGAGAATGACTTGTTTTATTGAAATTAAATTTTTTTTTACGGCAATAACAGTGCTTTGAGAACTATTAGATATTTGTGAAGGTAATCTTGTCGGGATTAGCTGTATAGCTGGAGAACTTGGCGTACCTATATTAAAAACAATGCTTAAAACTATACATTTTTTAAAATACTATTATAAATTAGGTTTACCCCTTACAATTAAGTTCATATTTTCATAACTTCTCAAATACAATTTTTTTTAAATATTTAATATACATCATACATTAGGTAATACCATTTAATATTTATTATTTTAGTATGCAGTGAGTTTTCATTTTTTATTTAAAATAGAAATAACATAAAAATGAACTGTCATTTATTTACATTACAATCAAAAAAGTCGAAAGGATATATTGATTTTTTTAAATATTTAACTAATTGTGCAATAATTCATAATCGTTTCTCTTATTAACCGGGTTGCATTTAAAAATGTATCAATTGAATTCTTCAATAAAATGTTATGGACCAATCATCAAACACTAAATTATGTTTAAAGAACCATAGGTATTAGCTAGGTAGCTCGATAGCTCTCCGGTTCAATCGGCCGGGCTTGCTAGAACGGTGAATTTGAAGAAAAATAAATTATTCTTAGTTTACTGTAAGACAAGACATAAATACATAAATATTATTATCTTCTTTGACACATAGTTTGAAGTTTGATTGCCATTAGAAACGTTTATTTTAAAATTTTTTTGGCATTTTTTATTTATTAGATCCTTTTTTGCCTTTTTAATAAGTCATTATTTCATTTATATTAATTTTTTCGAGTTGTATATTAAATTCCATCAGTTTATTTATTTAATTTTAATTTTTCAGATAACATTCAGTACACACGTACTCAATTAATAATATCTTTAATTTAAAATATTTCACAAATGCTAGATTTCTAGATTTTAATATTTTTTAAATTATGATTTTTATATACCTACACTTAGAGTAAATTGTGTAAGTACTGAATTTGTTAGATTTGAATGCACTAAATGCACAGCCCTTATTATAACTAAGTACTAACTACTTGCACTAGTAATTGTTACCTACCTTTACAAGTAGTCAACACTTTTCTGGTTGAAATTAATTAATTTGTTTTTATGTTCTAGATGGAATTTACTTTCACCTTAAAGTTTTTACAGGGTAGTGTGGTCCCTATTGTCACCACACAAGCCACTGCTTTGGGCACACCTTTGAACGCCGAACTAGCCACTCCCCCTGAAGTTACCCAAACGGTAGTTCAACCACCACAACAACAACAACAACAACGTGGTCGTGGTGTGGGACGCGGACGACGTAATTGGCGAGGTGGATATCGAGGGTGGCGAGATGTTAACCGCGAATGGCAAGGTGATAATCGCAGATGGCAAGGCCGCGGGTGGTATGACAGAGATCATGGCAGTAGACGTCGTGCTAGCGGTGGTAGTGGTCATCAGAGCGACCGTCGTGGTGGTGGTGATGTCAGCGAAGGTGGTGTTGGAACTGGAAGATAACAAAACAATGGGCGGCATGGCGAGGCTAGTGCAACTAGTGCAAGTATAATCGCCATAGACCGGGTACCAGATGGAGATGTGGCAAGTACCAGCGGCTGTGACGATGGTGAAAGGCGGAACAGTGCTTTCAAAGGGCGTAAGTATTATTACACTACCTTTCTATACCAAGATTTGTTTGCAGCTTAACAGAATTTATAAAAAAAAATCAATTATAATTTAATATAGTTAAATATTATACTACAGTTATATCATGGGTGATTTGTAATCATAATAAAATATTTTATGATTTTAGAATGTTCAAAATGTTATGAAGAGGGTCATCGAAGGAAAGATTGCCCTTATAATGGTAAATAACAATAACAAAGTTAAAAAACATAAAATTATATTTTATTGTTAGTAACAAAATATAATGTTACATTTTTAAATGTTTATTTCCAGTTACATACCGCGTACTAACACCTTCCGAGGCTGAGTCGGCAATTACAAAAAAACAGCCGGGCCAACAGTCCTAAATTAGCTACAATACCTACCTACATACGTCTAAATGGGATCAATATTATAAAAATATTGATATAATTTTATTTTTCAAATAAAAATAAAATATTTGATACCTACTCAAAAAGAAATGTTTCTTAATTTTTTCATAACTTATACATATTTATTTTGTTTAACACCACATTTATTTATATAATTTATGATCCATTGGTTATAGGTATAACAATTTAATGTTATAAATTAGACTATAATACAAAGTTTATCATAAATATTACTCATATTACTCAACCTACTTTATTTTTAGGTGGCAGTCAGCGTGTTAACTTTTAAGACGTTACCCATTAGGTATTCATATTCATAGGTACTAAGCAGTAAAATAGTAAGAACTTAATTGGAATCATATGTTAAGTATTCATGAAAAAAACTTAATTAACGCTTAATCAATAGTTCTTAATAGTTCTTGGTGGAGTGTAGGATTTAGTAAATACTTAAGTTTTAGTATTCATAAATAGGAGTACATATCATGTTAAGTTATAAAACGTAAATGTGATATTGGTTAAATCCTAGCAACCTCTGGTATTCACTTAAAAAATAAATTAATATTAAATGAATAACTAAACATTTTTTTATTAATTAAAATACATTATTCCTTTAATTCAGTAACGTGTGCAAACTGAAAAACCTTAAAATTATGTAGGTAGCCTTTGTTGAATAAACAAATAAATATATTTTATATCACTTTTGGGTTAAAAAGGTGTATATATATTTTTTTTTTTATTAAACTTAGCAAATACAACAAAAACTTAAACTTTCAATTAATTAGGTACTTATCTAACTACTACATTTAGGTATAGATAATGTTATAATATGAGATCAAATTCAACAGTTAGGTTTTTTAAAACAACCTATCTATAATTTTCAATATATTTATAAGGTCCAAAGAATATTGTTAAGGTTTTGATGTAGATGTTTGCAAGATGTGCATCATTTGTCAGTTAAAAACATAGTTATATTTATAACATACTTTTTAATGTAAGTATTCAAATTGAAAGTTCTATGAATGTAGAACTCACAAATAGTTTTTGCAAATGTTTGTGATTTTAACAAATTGAATATACCACTTAGGTTAGGTACAGCAGCTTATACGATGGACCTTCTATTAAATTCTAAGTTTTTAGGTCAATACATCATCAACATACATCCACAATTATTTTTAAGAAGTAAATCTGAAAGAAATGTGTATATAGTATATATACCTTATAACTAATTTCCAAATATACACAACACTACGTTTGGCGTCTATTGCAACTATTACAGATTGTATATTATATACTAATAAATGATAAAAAAATCAAAATAATAATAAATATGAAATTAAACTTAAACGCTATATTATTAGGTACATACTACATAGTATTGTATTAGTGATGATAGGTATATCATAGTAATATACTTTATGTGAGTTTGCATGAAACAAATTTGAATACATTATTATGAAAAACTACACTTAACCACATACACTTGAAAGCAATATTCGTATATGCTTAGGGGAATACAAATGTAATTCAGTATTGTACTTAGTTGGTAAAAAAAAAACAGTAAATACCTACGTTCCTATTTTTTATATCAAAACTAACATTGCATAATAATGATTAACTTAAAAATGAAAAGTGTAATTTACAATTATACTAATTTGCATATAAAGATAAATTAATAATATTATACTTACTGATTTGGGTATGAAGCAGCCACGACAAACCTTTAATTTTAATCATGTATTCAGGAAAGTGGATAAATTGGAAATCACTGTGTAGTGCTTTAATTTAGTAAGAGCCCCAGAAAGGTTGTAATGCAACAAAACATACAGGATTCTTATCATTTCGCGGGTAGAAACCGGTATATTTATAATATGACATAAATGAATAAATTACTGAACTGCGTTTAACAGCTTGGGTTTTACCGGTAGCCACTCTAAACTTTCACGATATTTAAATAAGGTACACTATATGCAGTGTAAAAAGTTTCATAATTTTCTATATACTATTGCGGGTTTTAGAGCAAATCAGCAGTTTTCCTGGACGGCGGCGCGTGATTTTACTGATTCGATTATGTGAATAAATTACTGATTTGTTTATAGCTACATGGGTTTTCGAGGTAGGCACTCTAAATTTTCACGATATTTAAATAAGGTACACTTTATGCAGTGCAAAAAGTTTCATAATTTTCTATATACTATTGCGGGTTTTAGAGCAAATCAGCAGTTTTCCTGGACGGTGGCGCGTGATTTTACTGATTCGATTATGTGAATAAATTACTGATTTGTTTATAGCTACATGGGTTTTCGAGGTAGGCACTCTAAATTTTCTCGATATTTAAATAAGGTACACTATATGCAGTGTAAAAAGTTTCATAATATACTATTGCGGGTTTTAGAGCAAATCAGCAGTTTTCCTGGACGGCAGCGCGTGATTTTACTGATTCGATTATGTGAATAAATTACTGATTTGTTTATAGCTACATGGGTTTTCGAGGTAGGCACTCTAAATGTTCACGATATTTAAATAAGGTACACTATATGCAGTGTAAAAAGTTTCATAATATTCTATATACTATTGCGAATTTTAGAGCAAATCAGCAGTTTTCCTGGACGGCGGCGCGTGATTTTACTGATTCGATTATGTGAATAAATTACTGATTTGTTTTATAACTGCATGGGTTTTCGAGGTAGGCACTTGAAATTTCCAAGGTATTTAAATACGGTACAACCGATACCGTGTAGAAAATTTCATAATTTTCCATACACTATTGCGGGTTTTAGAGCAAATCAGCAGTTTTCCTGGACGGCGGTGCGTCGGTGCGTGATTTTACTGATTCGGTTATGTGAATAAATTACTGATTTGTTTTATAACTGCATGGGTTTTCGAGGTAGGCAATTGAAATTTCCAAGGTATTTAAATACGGTACAACCGATACCGTGTAAAAAGTTTCATAATTTTCTATATACTATTTCGGGTTTTAGAGCAAATCAGCAGTTTTCCTGGACGGCAGCGCGTGATTTTACTGATTCGATTATGTGAATAAATTACTGATTTGTTTATAGCTACATGGGTTTTCGAGGTAGGCACTCTAAATGTTCACGATATTTAAATAAGGTACACTATATGCAGTGTAAAAAGTTTCATAATATTCTATATACTATTGCGGGTTTTAGAGCAAATCAGCAGTTTTCCTGGACGGCGGCGCGTGATTTTACTGATTCGATTATGTGAATAAATTACTGATTTGTTTTATAACTGCATGGGTTTTCAAGGTAGGCACTTGAAATTTCCAAGGTTTTTAAATACGGTATAACACATACCGTGTAAAAAATTTCATAATTTTTGGTTAAGTTTTTAAGTTTGTGATATTTCTGCGACAAGTAACCCGGAAGTGAAAATCGACGGGGCAACCTGGAATTTGGTAGGGAGTTGGAGGGGGGTATTATAATGGCACTTGTGAAGTTTGAACTTTTTCGGACTTAGTTTGCCCATGCTACGGGCGCTATGGCCCCAAATCAGTAAATCAGTAAATCAGTAAATTAGGCAGTACCCTATCATACAATTAAAAATTGTGGGTTATCACATAAAATTACTTACCGAAGATGCAGTTGAGTATATTAGCTGGCAATTGCATAAATTGTACACTCACGACTCACAGCAAAACGTACAACACTACTACAGTACTACCTATGACACTATAATAGTACACTACAACAGTACAACACTACAACGTTCAAATATGAAATAATTGCAGTATGGCACTATCCATTTTCCGTCTAAAACAAGGTATATAGCAATGATAAGACTGTTGACTGTTGAGACGGCACACAATAAAGGTTATTACTGGGAAAATCATAAATCGATGTAAAACCCCCATCATTGTTTATCTCAATTCTATTTTTATTCAATGGCAAGTATGTGATTGCATAATGCGTTGGGTCGCCACTTGCCGTGTCATAGTCCAGATAATAATAATAGGTATAATAATAGACAGTCATAGATTCGGTACACGGCGACGTTTAAAATCGAAATAATTCAATTTACGACAACGACCACTCGTTACAACGAACCTTCAGGCCGGAACTATACACGGTGACGGTGTTTTCCGTCGAATTAAAAATGCATTGGTTTGTATCGGAGTAACTATATATAGTAGGTATATACACGACGGCCGTTTTCGTCCCCGGCAGAAACGACGGTCGGCTTGGGTTTTTGAAAACGCGATGTATTATATATACATCTGTCGTGTAGGTATAGGCGCATATATATAGCTACTCCGATATAAATACCAATGCATTTTTAATTCAACCGAAAACGCTGCGGAATAGGTACGTGGCGTATAGCCCCAGCTTCAGGCTATATATATATATATATAATAGTGGCTACAGCAATTTGATAATTAAAATAAATTAACCCCTCACGGCCTCACCTCTAACAAATAAAATTTTTAATTACAAAAAATATTTT